TACACAAATTCTTTGCCCTCTTTTTTATTTTTATTTTTTTTTAATTATTTTCTATTTTTCTATTCCCTATGTGTATTGAATTCTCATTGTAATTATCTCTTATTAACATTACTCAATATCTATTGAAAATATTTCATATTTCTGTTTGGTTTTTTTTTTTTTTATTTAAATTCATAATTTTCTCATTAAAAAAAAAAAAAAAGGTGCGTGCATATTTGTATAATTTATTTTTGTTTTGGTTTGTTTTATTTTTTTTTTATTTTCTTGTTGCAGTAATCACAGATCATAGGCGTTATATGCGTGTATAGAGTAATAGTTAACAAGATACAATCTGATATAACATGGTTCATAAATAAAACCACACTTCTATAATTTTCCTTTCTTTTCTATCTTGTAAAAATATAAAAAAAAAAAAAATATAAAAAATTAATCAATTGCTATTACGCAGGTGTGCAGAAATTCATTGATATCGGATAAAAACTAAATGTCAAATCAGATTTTATTCGATTTCATAGATAAACACATATTTACATATATATAATAAATACGTGATTAAGTTAATTAATCGAGACTTACAATATATATTTTTTTTCTTTATTTTTAAATTTAGAAGTTAATTAAAGTTAATTTATTCTATTACTCTTGTTTTCATATTATTAATAAACGTGTGCACCTAAGCGAATTATTTAGTACAATCTGACCGATAATTATTACTTCCTTAAAATATGAATTATAAAAGTGTCTTAACAAACCAACCAAAAAAAAAAAAAACGAAAGGAAAATCAAATCTAAATCTATGAATTAAATAAATGAATAAATAATAAATAAAATACAATTAACAAAATGTGGGTGTAATAAAATAAAAATAAAACATAAATCAAAATAACTAAAATAAAAATAAATCAAAAAATTATATATATATATATATATATATATATAATTTGCTAAAAATAGGTTTCAATATTTTTCATTTTTTTTCTTTTTTTTTTTTATAATAAAGAGT